TCTTCCCAAGCACCGTGCCCCAGCTGTTTCCACTATCAAATATCAAAACCCCTCTTAGTGGAAACATGTATGAACTACCAGTTTACAAAAGGAAACCAGAAGCTGCAATCCTCAAACCTTACACAAATATGGATTTTCGGGATTGAGTCTCCAGGGCAAGAACACCTGCTGAGCAGGCAGCAGGAGCCGACTCCAGTGGTGTGGGGCACGTAGGGCAGCCGGAAAGTTAACACCAGTTCACTGTCAAGACATTTATCTGCTATTTGAAAATCACATTATTATTACTCTATATAGAGCACTGCAAAATTTGCCAATTAACAAGTTTCAGCTGTGATTGCCAAATGTTGATCACGGAGATGCCCCACACGTTGGCCTACGCTGCAGAAGCTGAAGACACAAGAACCAGCCCTGGCAAAGTTTGGGTGATAACGATACGTATTCCACTACAATGTGTGTCGGAGGCATACGCTGACAGGAAAAGATAAAGTATGAAATATGCCCCATGTAAAAGCTTTCCTGTGCTGGAGTAACTCCCTGTGATCACGTATTTTAGTACTCACAACTCCTGATGCAACCTGCTATTAAGAGTGAGGGTTTTTTTCCCCTCCCCGCATATGAATTCTGTTAGGGAAAAAAATGTCCAAGCCTTTCTTTTTTTTCAGAATTGATAGAAAAATCCTCAGTAAGGCCCACTCCCTCATGCATATTTTATAGATAATCCATTTTAATATCAAAACCTTAACCACAATTGGAATTATTGCTGGGCAATAATGTTGCTGCCCACAAATAGCATATACTGCCAAAGTGATAAATGAAAGATTAAAAAAATAAAAAAAAAAGAGAAAGAGAGCTAGAAACTTCAGGCGTGCCACTGAGAGAGCTAAACAGACAAGAAACAACAGACACAAATGTACTGGTCATGAAGAGAACAGCGCTGCAAGCTATTGCACAGGCAACTAATTCCTGACAGCAGGAGCGAGACCCTACCCACCTCCGTCCAGGGACACGGTCTGGATTCCCTGTGGTGCCCTGGCTGGCACCCTGAAGACTGTCCCGGGAAAGGGCAAAGCAAAGTGTTTCCACCCTGTCATGCCTGCTGAGTTGTTCTTCCCTGAGGACACCTCTCACAGGTCAGAGCAGCCGTCTGCACAAGTTGTAATCCCTCGTTTCAGCTCCTGTGTGCATAACCACACAGCTCTCCCTACTTCTGTCTAAACACCAGGGCTCTGAAATTACGCATACTGTCAGAAACGGGTTGGATTGGAAAAAAAAAAAGTACTATTTTGTATTACCATTTAAACATATTATCATTTAAAAAAAAAGATATTGCAATACACACATTTGGACGTTGTGCCACATAAAGAACGAAAGCTCCAACAGGGAGCAGTAACAGTACGGGAGAAGGGAGAAAAATATCCTCATAAATTTGTTTTCATAAGTTTCTGCAACTAACTGAGGGTTTAACACGCTCTGTTCGTAGCGGTGCTTACAGGCAGGACTCCTTTCCTGCTGGTCTCACCCGAAGCTTTACGTTCACCATCCCCTGTTTAACAGCCTGGCCTGAGAAGCAGCTGGAACACGTGAGACCTCAACTCAACACTGTCGATGAACCCAGTGCACACAGACGAACGGAAACCCTTTCCAAATCTTACTAATAGAACGGTTTCATTCTTTAGTTCTACCATTCCAATCATATTTTCCTATTCTGGAATTACGTTTGCACTACTCACTGTAAAAATTACTGTTAAGATACCATTCATTCAAAAGGTCATTTCCAGGCTACATTAATCAAAATTATTCAAAAATGCTCTTCCTCTGCGGACATTAATGCTACTCCTAGAGAGTCTGGCATGTAACAGACACATAGCTGACTGCAAAAGCAAAGCATCATTTTCCAAATACTTTAAGAAAAGCTGTAGTTTAATATACAAAAAATGCTTTCAGCTCCTAAGCCAACACATTATACTAAAAACGTAGGTTTACTGCATATCGAAGAGATTCTCTGCCTTCCTAATATCATGATGAATATTGGGGAAAACACTTTTCTTTTTCTTTCTGCTTTCAAAACCCGTCTGTATTGATGTGTCACTGCGACAGAGTGCTACACTAAATGCTGTGCCGTGACATTACTGCACAGGATCTGTCCCCGCACTTCTAACTGGGTGACAAGCAGCAAGAGAATTCTCCAAAGCTGTTACAGCAAGGGCAGTACAGCCCACAAAACACCCAGCCTCTTATGGCAGCTCACTACTTGCACATTACGCATGTGAGAACAAGATACCTGATGAGGTTCAACAAAGGCAAGTGCAGGGTCCTGGACCTGGGGAGGAACAACCCCAGGTACCAGTACAGGCTGGGGCGGACCTGCTGGAGAGCAGCTCTGCGGAGAGGGACTGGGAGTGCTGGGGGACGACAGGGTGACCATGAGCCAGCAGTGTGCCCTGGCTGCCAAGAAGGCCACTGGGATCCTGGGGTGCATTAAGAGGAGTGTGGCCAGCAGGTCAAGGGAGGTTCTCCTTCCCCTCTACTCTGCCATGGTGAGGCCCCATCTGCAGTACTGTGTCCAGTGCTGGGCTCCCCAGTTCAAGAAAGATGAGGAGCTACTGGAGAGAGTACAGCGCAGGGCTACGAGGATGAGGAGGGGACTGGAGCATCTCTCCTACGAGGAGAGGCTGAGGGAGCTGGGCTTGTTCAGCCTGGAGAAGAGAAGGCTGAGAGGGGACCTTAGAAATGCCTCTAAATATCTGCAGGGTGGGGGTCAGGAGGACGGGGCCAGACTCTTTGGACATGGTGCTGTGCAGCCTGCTCTGGGTGACCCTGCTTGGGCAGGGGGTTGGACTGGGTGACCCAAAAGAGGTCCCTTCCAACCCCTAACATTCTGTGATATAAAAAATTCGCTAAAAAATAAGATGGGAAAAAACTCAGTGGGTTGTTGGCGGTTCCCCCCCTCCACGACACGCCCGTTGCACATCTTATCTTCATCCACAGTTCATCAAATGCTTGATTGCCAAACGCCATCTTTCAGGATTAATGACACCGTAGCTACGACGGCACATGGCTGTAGTACTATCTCTGCAGATCTCACACGAGTCTATCAGCTGTAACCTGCCTCGGACATCCCCCGACCGGCCGCAAATTCCCAGCAAAATTTACAGATGTCTGCATTCCCTGCAGGAGGCAAAACCAGGAGAGCTCATGCCACCAGAAAGGAGCTGCCTACCTGAAGGGTCCTTACTCTTAAAAATTAATAGAAAAATCTGTATTCATTTTCACATTAATAAATTAATAATTCCTTAGGGTACAAAAATACATTTCACCACGGTTTATATGCTACAGTGCATATAAATATGTTAGTCTATTATTTCCTTTATTTATATAATTGTTACTTGTTTAACAATTATGCTCTTTGGCATTTTCTGAAGAGTAGACATAAGGCATTTCAAATGCCATTAACCACACATGATAGAGTATTCACTTCTTACTGGAATGGTATTTTCTTTATCCATAATACATTTAAAGTGCTTTTCACTTTGTCCAACCTCTCCAAACTACTCAGGTAGACAGGCAGGCAGACGATGGTCAGGAACAGTGTCCAACAACATCCTAACGTACGAGATGCTAAGATACAACATACAGACTTGTTCTGGTGAGTGATTAATTAAATCAATTGTTGACTCAGAAATTAAAAAAAAAAAAAAAATCAAGATACTGAACAAAATCTTCCAGCACTGCCTCCCAGAAACCAGGTAGCTCACACAGCATTTTGAAAAGACTCGCAGGGATGCCAGCTACTCCTGACCTAGGCTGGCAGCAAGCAAATCCGAAGAAGTCGAAGGGTAACAGATTAAATAGGACAAAAAAACATAAAGGCACTTCGTGTTCTAAAAGGATTTTTGCTTTTAAGGCTTCACTGTTAAAGTTACCTAGCAGTACTCTGCTGTAAATAAGATACATCACTCACCTCTGTCTAGTCTACAGAAATAGGAAATGGTACCCAAACAGTACCCAGGGGAATAGGTGTCTACAACCAAGTTACACCTGCATCGTGCTCAACAGTTGCTCCATACTCTGTGTTGTAGCCAGATTTCAACTTGCAAGGGGAAAAGCTGTGCAATTACTGATCCAGACACACCTGAGCATCCCCACCAACCAGAATGGAAAAACGCCTGAACCTAGCTCTACAACTTGACACAAGACAGGTAACTTCTTCAGTATATTATCCACAAACAAATGAAAGCAGTCTCTGGATTTCAGTCAACTTCCACTCTCAGCAAGCAACCCCAGAATCTCCCCCGTCAGCTGGTGCAGAGAGCGCGTTCCTCACCGCGCTTTTGTTGCGGAACAGAACTTCTGTTATTAACAACAAATACAAATAATTAATGAAGCTATTTAAACACAAGCATGATTTCATGAGATTTGTTGCATTTCAGGAAGAAGGCAAATGATCCCATAAATCATCAAATGTGACTTTTAAAAGCACCAAGTTTGCTTCATTTCTACGTGGCCGTGGAAAGTGGCAGCTCACACCAGCAACACAGGGATGCGCAGAAGCATCACCAGGGCAAGTCGTGGAGACACGGCCCCTGGTTTTGTTTGTGGAATGCTTAACATCAAGGAAGGAAAAATAAGAAACAAATGCAATTTCACCTGGTAAATATCAGATAGGCTGCTGCTCCCCGAATCACTGGCAATGCTACATCCCGACTGGCTGGAAGGGACGTGGGTCACCTGAGGATGAGGGTTGTCGGTAAGATGCATCTTGGTGAGGTCAGCTGGAAGCTGCAGATAAAACGGATTTGGGGAAAGACAGGAAAAAGAAAGCAAAAAGAGATGCGTAAGTCTGATCTGAAGACAAAGTTATTCACCAAACTTTTGTTACACTTTTCAACACCATCACCTAACTTCAGGTACCATTTGAGAGAAAACTAATTTGGACTAAGCTCGCCCAATCGCACCTCAGATTCTACAGGACTGACAGAAAACGATGCAGCTTTCTGTGAAGCAAAGGCCTGGCCTCGTCCCCAGAAAACATCAATACAGAGCAAAAAGTAATGTAATCTAAATAAACATTTTGGTCCATAAAATGCTTTCAACTTTCTTTAAGAAAACAAAAATACAGAAAGCATACCACGCATTTTTGGTACATGTACATACAACAGCACTTCTCGTTTATGAATTTATCTGTAAATGAACACGTGTACGTGGACACACAAATTTTAGTGCATGACTGACGCCCACAAACACATTCCTTCTACTGAAAGAAGTCAAAATCAGTAGCAGGCTTCTGAAGAATCAGAGCCACAGGGAATATTAAAAAATAACCAGCCCTTTCATTCAGCTGCTCATTTCTTTTCTGCCACATTTATTTCTCGTATTTTTTACATTTACACTCCACTATATGGAAAGAATATTATATCACAGAATGATAGATTCTATGACAAAATGTATATACTTTTACCATTTCAAAATGACATTCTTACTTCCATTTTTTGAAAAGCACATGAGAGAAGCACTCTACCAAAGACTTGTTCGCATACTTTCTGAGACCGTACGCAGCACTGTAGGTCTCTCCAAACCTTCCTCATTCCCAGAAAAAAAATGTTGAAAGCACCTCTGTCACATATAACATAATTTTGATTATCAAAATTGTCATGAGGAAGGCAGGGGATGCTGGGTTGCCTGTAACTCCCCATGACGTTCTCACTGCCAGTCGCTACTCAAACCAGACCATCCTACGGGCTCGAGAAACCAGCGGATTGTTACTTGCAAAATAACTCTGGGAAATGAAAGATCATATAAAACTATTTTTCACTATACTAATATTTATATTATTCTTGCTTTGTTCATATTTTACTTACAAAAAGAAAGTATAAAGTATTCAACTTTTAAATTACTATCTATGCTCACATGTATTTGGAAAAGAAGTCTGAAAAGCAAAAGATTATACTAAACTCCCAAACTCCCATAAAAAAAACTCCAGGCAGTAGGTACAGAATAGTGAACCTGATCCAAATACAAAGGCAACACCTTTGAAGCCTATGTTTAGCCACCAAAAAGTTTGACAGGCTGAAAAAAAATCTATTTTCAGGACCGGAGGACAGCAAGAAGGTCAAAGCACTCAGCTGACAAAACTCACCCCCGTGGCCAAGGGCCGGGCTCGCTCTCCGCCAGCACGCACCGGGAGAGCTGCCGTCACCGAGACGCGACCTCTGCTCCACCGACACCGCGGCACGGAAGCCACGCAGCAAAGCCGTGACTGAATTCTGGTCTGGAGCACTAGCTGGGTGCATTTAAATCCAAACGAACACTTTCTACAGCACAGGTTTTTGTGCCACGTACAGACAAGCACTATCTGGACCTGGCAGCGTTAGGTTTATGGTTGGACTTGCTGATCTGAAAGGTCTTTTCCAAGCTAAATGATTGGAAGATCTACTGCTGGTAACGGAGGCGAGGCAGAAAGCGTTGCATTATCGTCCTTCTTCAGCCACCAGTATTCCAACGATGCCGACCACGGTGCTGACGGAGGTTGCTCCCCTGGCTTTCCCCATCCGCTGCCTCGGCAGCAGCCCGTGCCGCAGGGTGACCCGGCTCCTCGGCTCCCCGGAGCGTCACGCGTCAGCCGGCTCCTCTGCAAGCACGCCGCAGCGCTACGGTCCGCGTGAAACGATGGCAGGGCAGGCACGAGCAAGGGCAGCGCAGCGTCTGCCAGGGAGGACGGCAGCCAGCAGCAACCCGGTGCCCGCTAGCGGATTACCAGGCAGGGCTGCCAGCAGTCACTGACACGCTGGAGGTCAGTGGAACTGAAAAATCCAGGAGTTTTAGTAAATTACAAAATAAATCAAGCCCAACAGACTCATTACCCCTAGCTTAACAAGCCCACGGCTTTGCTGCAAGCTCCTCAGGCTGGCCCCATCGTTACGGCCTCCCTATTCCAACAACCGGCTCCCAATTCAGCTTCAATCAGATTTCTTTCCGGCCACGAGCAAGTCCCACGCTGACGGTGGTAATACACACCCAAGGAAATCCAATTTAAGCTCCCTGCTCTCCAGATTCATAATGATTTTCAAACTTTCAAAACAGCTCCAGGAAACGAATGAGCAAAGCCAAGAGCAGACACGATTCTGCAGGGCTTCTCAGGAGGACGAGGGCAGGTGCCTGCTCCCACCCAAACGCTGCTGCTATCGCAGCCCATTCTGGCTCAGAGACAGTGACACACACACACAGATACACACTGCCACATGCAGGCTTTCTTCCTGAATTTAGTTTAAATTTTGAGATTCTTGTGATGAAGGCTGTTCTATATACCTAGGTTGAGTAGTACTGTGGGAGCAAGACACGGATCTCAACATGAAAAAAGTTGTCTATGTACCTTGCCATTCTCAGAAATACACATTGAAGACCAGCTCAGACCACCACCAGCCTTCCCAGAGGAGTACTTCTAATCAACTCGTTAATCACAACTGATCTTCATTCCCCCTGCCAGCACTCCCATTCATTTCCACCACCTAGAAAGCACACGGGCATCTACGATGCTCCAGCTGGGTTCTGCAATCTGGTCTTGTAAAAGCCATTTAATGCAGGTTGGATGCAAGGAAACATTGCAATATCTCTTTAAATTTGAGAGAGAGATAAGGTTTATTTGAGACAAGTGACCTTTAAAGTGCTGCTTGCCACTCTACTCAATCTCCCAAAATAAATCACAGCTTCTGCCTTTTGAATGTCGTTTTTATTACCCAAACGGATTGTTCTTCCTTTCTGAGCTCCCGAAGCAGCAACACGAGGATAGGGTGTTTCTGTAACAACACGACAGCGGACGCGGGGAGGATGTGCAGGGTGAGGTGGTGAAGTTGCTGAAAAGTGCTAGAACATTGTCAACTACTGGTGAATAAAGTTCACTTTTCTTCAACTCTGATTTTTTTTTTGTTTTGTTTTGGTGGGAGAAACTTAGAAACTGTTGTTAGAATCACATCAGTATCTTGTAAAATGACATGTCTAGAATAGCAACGTTCCCCTAAGCCCACGTTAGAGGCTTTCAGACGCACAAGCACCTACCTGCATCACCTTCTGGCTAGCTGCACGCCCCAGCAGCCGCACAGACAGAAAAATCCCAAACTTCCATGACAATCTGAGAAACACTCCACGCAGAAACACACGACTTACTTGCCACTTTAAACCAGAACAATCCCATCTCCTCACAAGAAGGGATAACCTGGCACTCGAGCACGAGTGCGTCCGACGTGCTGGCACAGCCGGTCCCTGCCTCGGGGCCAGCACATCCTTGTGACTGACCTTTCCCGACAAAGGGATATTTAGCTCCAACCCCCCCGCCGGAACGCCAGACTGCGGGGTTCAGCGCTGTACGTGGAAGGAAGTTCAGAAAACAGAAGCTCTGGGCTGCACAGCCACCTACAGCTCTGCCCTCCCACAGAGCCAGGGAGATACAGTCGGTGCTTACGCCGAATAAACGGAACCAACAGGGGAATTTTTAAAGACATATTGCAAACTGCTATAAGAAAAAAGGACAGGAAAAAAATACGAAATCCTTGGAAGCTCATCCTAGCGTGGCGTCAGTGTCTTGCCACGCAAACCCAGAAGCGACAGCATCCGGGACCGCTCTTTGCTCGAGGCACGGGAGCTGTCTGCAGGCAGCACCCAGGGTGGCCGGGACGCAGCCCAGGCCGGCTCCCCGAGCGGCAGCGCCGGGGAGAGGGCAGGCGAGGGCAGACGACACGGGAGCGTAAAAGCCAGCGAGGCCGGGGCGGGCACCCCGAGCGGCAGCGCCGGGGAGAGGGCAGGCGAGGGCAGACGACACGGGAGCGTAAAAGCCAGTTCTGAGTGACAGTTAATAAAAATGACATGCACAAAACACTAAGCTCTACGCACAGCAACCTGGAACGCACCCAGGAGGTGAAGACTCCCCGAGGTCCCCCCGGAGCTCGGCTTTTGCTATCGATTTTGTGGGTGCAGCCACCCAGCACTGAAGCGAGGGGCAGCAGCTCTCCTGCTGCTAAACCAGAGAAACCCCAACAACTCCAAGCACCCAACTAAAGCAGAGAAACCCCAAAGATCTCCAGAAGCCCCAAACCTGTCCTTTCTCCTATTGCACAATAAATACAAGGCAGAAACTCCCACAGTAAAACCAAAAAAGCACGAAGAGCAGTATACGTAAGTGCTTTTTGTCCTACCTGGACAGCAAGAACGCTCACGTCTTGCACCTGCAAAAGACAAATTGCACTGAGAGACTGACTGCTAGGTCTGAACGGAGAGGCAGGGCCGGAGCAGCGGAGCCTGGAGCAGCACTGCTGCTCTGAACAGCCGGACGAAGCAGAGGGACATAAAAAAGGAGCAATGGGACTCTGTAAAAGGACAGAAGCATGGAAGAGAAGAATCTCTGCTCATATTCGTCCTTGGGCATCCTTGGAAAAAACGATGGTCCTTGGGAAGAGTGTGGAGAAGCCAGTGGATGACAGGGGGAACGGATGAAACCCCGGGCGGTTGCGGGGGCAGACAAAGAACCAAAAGGAGGAGGGAGGAACCAGCAGAGGACACAGACCCTGCCGCATCCACCGCTTCCCCAGGGACATCCCGGGGGAAGCGGCCCAACGGTGCTCTGCGTGACCCCGGGGGACACGTATGGGGCCACAGGGGCCACACGGACCCTCGATCTGAACCAGCACAGACATCCTCTGGTTAGCTAAAACTACCAGCTACAAACGGCTGAAGATGAAAGAGCAACCACAGAACTGCTGAGAGCCAAGCAATGCAGCAAAGCAGCTACA